TGTGGAATAGCTTTTCTTGCTTCTTGGGTTGCGGTGATCTGGGGAGAGCCCCCTGTTTGCTAACTTTGGCACCCAGCGAAGGGAGCTTTCTCTCCCTTGGTTCCTGGACATGGGTGATCTTCGACTTGGGGACGATGATAGACACAACTGATGGTCTATCGATGACCTTTTGAAGCCTAGCACGTGACGACTTAAATTGTCCCCCATGCTTTCTCCCTTAATTTAGTAACTAGAGAATGACACCGTACTAAGTACCGGGCTAGTATTTTTTGATAATTTTTATTTTGTTTAAGTAAAAGATGTCTAATTTTTTATTATTATTTATTTTTTTTAAGATTATTTGTATTGTAATATTTAATTAATTATATGTTGTTGTTATTATTAAGTATTTAATTAATGATTTTTATCCTAATAATTATTATAATTAAAATTTGTACTGTAAAAATTTAAAGATTAACCAAAATGTAATATTTACTTAATTATTTAATTAAAGATTAATATTATTTTTAATTAGTAATGGTGATGATTATTTTATTATATTCTTATTAATAATCAGTATTTAATTAATGAGTACTGTTGTTATAATAGATTTTTTTAATTACACTAAAGTCTGGTAATTTATATAACTTGCACAATCAGTTTTTAAACCATAGGACTCTTAATTAAGCTTAAAATTCAAATTTGTTTGTGACTGAAAGTAACCACTTTAGACAGTTTCTTAGGAGTGGATGAGCCCACTTCTGGGATGTTGTTTAATGAAATTTTAGGATGCCACGTATTTAAAGGGAGGGGACTGTTGCCTGACGATCTTCCTTTAATATATAGACAATAGATGGGCCCGGTCCAGTTAAGAAACTTTTACGAGGCTCAGCCTGGTTCAATTTGTCAATTAACCCTGCCGAGTCCAACTTTTTTGCCCCCTGGCTTGGCCCAGCTCAGACATTTGGGCTTCCTGCTCACCCCCACTTGTCCTACCACAAATAGATCGCAAGTTTCTGAGGGCACTTTCTTTGCTGGTGCCTACATGGTCTGTAACCTGATTTAAATCAATCGTTACCTTTTCCTTCTGACCAGATGAGTCTAAGGAGCTTGGGTTCAGTCCACAGCCTCCCACAGTATTATTAGCTTGCCTTACTAGTCAAACCTGTCTACCGTTTGTCTGCCCAAGGCTGCCCCCTGTCAGCACCTGTACATAGGACCTGCCACACGCCTTTCCTTCCTCTGAATCCTTTCCCATTTCAGCTTCAATTTCCTTCCCTTTTAAAGGTTCACATAAACTCCAGAATTGTGAAATTTTCAAACCAATTTGAATTACCCACTCCCTTACATCCATGTAGCCCAGCTTCTTCTACCCTCTCATCTTCAACCTTCTTTCCTTCACGCACACAGAGGCTTCAATGGCGGTTATCAATCAGACAGAGTAGAAGACTCCGTGTGACCGACCACCTTCACCATTCTAGGGATGTCTTCAGGAAGAACATTGCTCAACCATACTACTTCTGAATGCAGATCTCTCACAAAAACACCATCTAACCAAGCCTTACAGAGAGAGGCAATGGAGCAAAACATTTCTGTTATTCCATAAATGAAAGGGTAATCCTATAATCCAAACCATAACTTTTTCTTTCACACCGAAGCTCTTGGAATTAGACTCAGGTGACCATCTGGACAGTCACTGTGCCTGAATCCGACTTCAAGCAAACAGCATCAATTCCAACCTCCTTCCCACTTAATTCCAAAAGGACTTTACAGTCCTCAAAGGGTGTTATAATGATGGTACAGTTTAGTTTCAGCTCCTTCAGTACCTCCTCGGCTATTAACCTCAAATCATTAGATGGTACATTAGCTGTTACTATTAGTTTCTTTTCCCACTCTTCCTTTGAAGCACAAGTGATTATTTTACCAGCACTTGCAGGATGACCAACTGTCACCAAAGTTTCTGCCTCCTCGCACTGTCTCTGCGCCATCTCAACTTGACCTCTATTTTCCTCCTGAGATATCTCTGTATCTCTCTATGTCTCCTGCAATCCTTTCAGCCAGCCAGTGAAATCATTCAGCATGCCTAAAACTTCTTTCCACCCGGCACCCATCTTTCCTTCTAGGAAGCATGCCAATTGTTTTTTTCCATTTCTAAAATACCCCACGAGCACTACAAGTCTGCCCTTTTCATTTTTCCTGGTTTCTGCCATGTACTTTCTATCACCTTCTTCTTTTACCTCCTTGAAATCCTTCTTCCTACCCACCTGAGATGATTCCTCTACGAATGCTTGAACCATCCAATAACCTCTTCGCCAACCAAAATCACCATCGCCCTTTTCATCTCCCTGATCTTCAAAGCTGATTTCATTTTCATCCTGAAGCTTTCATAAAGGAGCTATTTGGCTTCAATCTTTATGAATCTTTTCCAAGTGACAGACTGCATCAACTTACCTTCCTCCATTTTCTGGCAGTTCATATAATACTGCAAGAGGTTCAAGAACCAAAGTTCCTTTATCTACTTCAAAACTCTTTGGGGCCTTGGGGGAGGCTTCTGTTTCTAAAAGGATGATATAATACTTTTTACAGGTATTTTTAGAATAGAAAACCATTCCAAATGGGTATACAAATGGTTCCTAATGGAAGGTGCATTAGCATTTGCAAAGTAGAGGTGTCTCAAATTCTTGTAATTAGCAAACTATAGGGCATGCCTTAGCATTTGCATGAAACTGTAGGGGGTCTTAATAAATGGCTTATTGTTTTTCTTTTATTATTAGTGGGATGTGAGGAAGGCAGTGTGTGTGTAATTTGGGGGGGGTGGGGAGCATGATAGGAGAATAGATAACTTGGAAATGGGAAAGTGGCATCGACCAAAAAACATTTCTCCTTTATCAGAGATTAGAAAGTGGATGTCCCACTGGAGGGTGCAAACTGAACTCTGCTCTGTGTAATTTTTTGTCCTCTTAGAAGTGTCCTTAGAACACATTAATGTGGCTTATATTGTCCTCTTGCTGCAACACTTGGAAGAAGACACATGGCATGACACTTCCTGTAACATGTTGATTATTTTCCAAATTGAAGTTACCCAAGAACTTTTATAGATAGCACTTTTAAATAATGTGTCACAAGAAAAGGACATGTCCAATATGATTCCAACAGTCATATTTTTAAATTTTTTCATTGAATTTCTTATATATTATATACATAAAATTTTTGTGTAATTTAGAGAGTGTTCTACAGTGTAAATATTTTTGTTTTCACTTGTTTTTGGAATTTCCACATCAGCAAATAAACAAAACATGTTCTTGAATTCTGTTTCCATTTTCAAAGGGAAAAACAAGTTGGTTTTGTTTCAAAAAACAATTCATGTTTTTGGAACCAATAAAATATTGGTTTTTAAAACAAAAACAAATTTTCTAGTAAAGAAATCATATGATTTATGGAATAAGATGTTAAATAATCAAATGAAAACATGTTTTTAAAACCAGATTTAAGAACATATTTTTGGTTCCAGTTTTGCGAGCAAAAAGCACACTGACAATCAAGAACATGTTTTTTGTGTTTTTGTTTTGAGAAACAATTTGTTTCAAACCCGATGCTGGGAACAAGAAAAGCAATTCACATATTTGATGGCATGTTCCCTGTGCATGATTTATGAGGGTCAATGTGGTAGAAATCTTTGGACACATGAGTTCTTGGCACCTGTGTCATGTACCAAGCTAACACTTTGAGAAAGTTGCCTAGTAGTTTTTTTTTTTTTGTACATTGTACCATGTTCACTAGCCTTAGCAACTCGATGTCTAATCCAAGACTCGAAGTTCAAAAGCATTCTTCACATTGAGCTAGAAATTGTAGCTTTTACTGTGAAAACATGTCATATGTTTTTTCAAGTTGGCATTGCTCTTAAACTTTTATGCTAGCATACAGCACAGAATTTGAGATTGGTACAATATAACATATAAGATAATCTTACACAAAGCTGTAATGGAGACAATGATAATGGAAAACAAAGAACAAAGAACTTGGAAGTACAGTATTCTAGGAAGTTTTCTTTAAGGTATTGGCTGGACCAAGCCTGACAGTAATTTAATAAAAGCATACCTTAATTAGCCTTCTTTAAAGTTAAATAATAAGGGCAGTGTTTTCTGCTATTAAGGTTAGTTTTGGATTTGTATAATATATATTTTCTTTGGTGGGGATGGTGGGGGGTCGTTACAGTATTAAGAAATTTGAAAATCTCTAATGAGGGCTGTTTGGTATGATAATAACTATGGACATTCCAAATTGTCAGAGGGTGGGGCATGGCAGTAGGGCCAAAAGGTGTGGAGTGTTGTGTGAGATTGGTATGATACGCTGCTTCATAGCATTCTAAAATTTTATAGTTCTGAAAGAGGATTGCTTTTGGATTCCTCATTTTAGAGGTGTTGGTGCTGTTGCTATTTCAAAGTTTGGAAATGGCTTCAAGTCACAACTGCTTTATTTTATATTCAGATAGAAAGAGCGACAACTCTTGTTTGTTAACTTATTTCGAGTTCAGATTGGCTCCCCACAGCTCTCCCCACACGTGCCCAACATGCACATCTCAGCGTCTATTGTGAACATCTCCTGCACTTGTCATGGGGAGATGTTCCCAATACATGGTTGGGATGTGCTGTGGGGCGGCACATGTGGGGCGTGCTCTGTATGGAGTCCATCTGAATTCGGTTATTTCACTGTTAAAAAATTCACGACTTTGCAGTTGGGTTTGATACCTTGGAACCATGCAACTATAGGGGATTTTCCTTTCCTGAGAAGGGTGCATGTGCTTTCTGTCTTACATATTTCTTTTGTCCATATACCTTCAGAGTGTAAGTATGTCCAAGTGTCGTCTAATTTAGATTTTGTGCATTATCACAAAATGCAAGTTCCATTTTCAAGTTATTACATGACAATTTGCTAAAATTTGTGGATGTGCATATTGCTTGCAATGCATCTTTATTTACTTCTCAGGTGTTTAATTTTCTTTTAATCTTCTTAATCCTTAGGCTCTGATTGCAAGTTATTTTACAAAGGGTGACTACAACACAGTTAAAGAAATTACCTATTTTGTGTTGAAGGTGAGTTTTCTTGTATGCCTCCCCGTTGTACATTTACCCCATGCCTCAGTCATTAAGGACATTTGAGCTTTTGGGTACCTAACCTATAAAAAATATTTGACTTTTTGCTTATATTTTATTTCTAGATTCTCTTTGTTTGGTATATGCTCTTTTCAGTTTGTTTAATTGATTGGAGCACATTTCTCCAGGCAGGGATTCTTACAGGTGTTACCTTAGCTGCAATACTGGGTACAACATTTGGTTTTTTGGCTACATTATTCACCAAAGACATGGATGTACTAGTTATTGTTAGATCTGGGGTTTTGGTATGTGTTCACACTTGTTTTGAACTTTTTTTTTCGTGTATGATCAAATATGTTTTTTATCTGATGGGCTCCCATCTAAATTTGGTTACAGTTTGTCAGTGCCAGTCAACCCATTAATGCCCTAGCTTTTATTTTTGATGGTCTCCATTATGGTGTTTCTGATTTTGCATATGCAGCTCAGTCAATGGTAAACTCTGAGAATTATTTAATTCAGTTATCTTTAAGACATCAAGTCATGATTTGACTTCTCCAGGTCCTAATATAAAGTTTTTGATACATAGATGGTAGTGGGAGCAATATCTTCTGCAGTTTTGCTGTATGCGCCTTCCATTTTTGGTCTTCCAGGAGTGTGGTCAGGTTTAGCTCTATTCATGGGCTTGCGTATGGTGGCAGGATATATAAGGTATGACATGTTAGTTCATTTTGTGTTCTCTTGTCATTCACTGCTGGTCAGGTTCACAAGTACCCAATATTTTTTTTTCTCTCCTCACATGTGTTGGAGATAAAGTAGACTAAGATGGTTTAGCTGCATGCATAGAAGACCTTTGACATCACCCATAAGAAGAAGTGATCTGCAAGTTAGAGCTAGAAGGGGTAGGGGTAGACCAAAAAGGACATGGGTCGAAGTACTAAGAAATGATTTAAGTGCTACTAATTAACAATGGATATGGCATTAAACTGGATTAATAGTTGGGATAAGGCTTGGATGATATTATGATAATGATGATTATATATTCTAAGTTGCTTATTCATTTTCAATTAAATTTTCTGCCTCTGTTGATGACTTTCCAGTAAGTAATTGCTAAAAGACAATAACAGAATGGATTCTATTTTGCAAGTTAAGTGGTATTTGAGAAAATATTCACTTAGGTTTAGAGTTTAGACCAGTGTGGTTAAAGCATTGCCTAGGTATCTAGTAGGTGTCCAGTCATCTGTTTTGTTTTTTGGGGAACTAAAAAATGCATACATTTTATTGGCGTTAAAGCATTGCCTAGGTATCATTTGAATTCTGAGGAAGTCTTAGTGGCAGTGGAGTTCAATTCCAAATCCACTTTCCTGAGCCAAAATTTTCTAAGATTCAAAGGAAAAACTTATTAGACCAAAAATATTAACAATAAAGAGAATTATAAAACTGCCCTCCATCATGTCAAATCAGAACTGCTGGATTTGTTTTGAGTTAATACTTGGCCCTAGGAGACGTTCCTTTCAGGATCTCGTGGACGTCTTAAAAGAACCCACATTTTATTGTATTTTTGGTTTTCATGGTCTTCCCAGTGTCAGAAACTGTCTGGCAAATACTTCCAATAAACCTGAAGACAGTCATATTTAACTGATAGGTTCTGATACATGTTATTTATTTCTTAGAGCACACAAATTTGGAGGATAGTTCATAAAAGTTGAAAGATTAAAATGAGGAATTTTTCAATTGTAGTTTTTTGATCCATTTTGGTCATGGTTAATTGCCAATTTAGTGTGTTCCTGTCTTCTAAATTCTCATATTCAATTTTTTGTTTTCTCCAGATTAACATCAAAAACTGGCCCATGGTGGTTCTTGCATAGTAACTTGCAAGAAATTTAGGTTTGTGAATTAATCTGAATATTAAATTGCTAATTTGTTAGTATTCTTCGACATAATATGTTATGATCCATTTGTCCCATGTTGGTAGTATGGGATGCTAATGTGAGGTATCCCACATTGGTAGATTGGGATGCTATTGTGGGGTATATATATGCTTGGGTTCCCTCCCTCTAACAGCTAGTTTTTAGGGGTGAGTTCTCCTAAGGTACAACAGATGGTATCAGAGCCTACACTATGCCTCCTAGTTGCAATCGTACAGCGCAGGTGGTGACGTCGGTATTGCAGTGTTTGGCTGGGACTAGGTGGATTAGTACAAAGCCAGCCTGCGTGGGTGCCAGGACTGCAGAAGCATGGTGGGATGTTATGATCCATTTGTCCCATGGTGGTAGTATGGGATGCTAATGCGAGGTATCCCACATCGGTAGAATAGGATGCTGTTGTGGGGTATATATGTGCTTGGGTTCCCTCCCTCTAACAGCTAGCTTTTAGGAGTTCTCCTAAGGCACATAACAAAATACTACCTAATTTTACAGGTACGTTTAATATGATGTATTCGTTTATTCAATTTTTTTTGTTCTCCAGATTAACATCAAAAACTGGCCCATGGTGGTTCTTGCAGAGGAACTTGCGAAAAATTTTGGTTTGTGAATTAATCTGAATATTAAATTGCTAATTTATTGGTATTCTTCGACATAATACTACCTAATTTTACAGGTACGTTAACATGATGTATTCGTTATGTGCCATTGCTTGTGCTTGTGAAATCAATGCGGTGAAGCAATTACATAATGTCCCCACCTGTTTCTCAGTCGTGACCGAGTAGGGTTGTATGGCTGTAATAAGTCTCTTGTACTAATTATATAAGAGGAAAAGTTGGCTAGTTTCTAAGAATAGATGGTAGGGGCTTCACCCAATTGCTGAATGTAGTGATGGATTTTAAATGGAAATCGGCTCTAAAGACAATGTTAAACGGATATATATTCAAACATATCAAAATAAAATCGTACATTTCATTCTCTCCTGTTCAAAATTTGCAAGCCCTACCTCAGCCGGTGCTGGTTTCTCAAACTAGTCTCCACTTGACTCCAAGCCTCCAAGGAGATGGGAAATTGATTGAGATGGACGCTTGGCCGAGCTGTGATCTGTGACCTCTCTATTTATAGGTCCACCCATCAAGGACCTTGATGCCTCTAAACGTTTTAAAATGCTTCGGTTTTCTAATAGCCCAATAAGTGTATTTAATCAACAATGTGATTATGTGGTTAGTCTAATAATCCCCCACTTAGTCTGTTGTTATTCTATGGATTCAAAATTTCCATAGGGCCAAAGCAAGAAAGTCAACCATCTTGGTTTTAATGACCAATAAATACTTGATGAAGGAATCCTTGCTAATTTAATGCAAGCAAACCCATTTTCATGTCAAAATATTTACAAAGTTACTATCCCTAAGTCACTAAGTACAGTATAATAGAATGAGTTCACAAACCCAGTAACGGTTAACAAACCATAATGGTGTATGCCATCTAGATATCATGACGAAGGACAATTAATAATGAGTAGTTACCTTAATCAAATGTGCACATAGTAACAAGATTTGAATCAATAGAATGAAATTACAAATTGGCAAAATAAGCTCCCACTAATCAAATAGAGTCAATGACGAGTAACTTTCTTAGAAAGAGTTTTGACCATAAGGCATGCCTTATCCTCACAATAAGATATATGTTTTGTCTCCATGGTAGATAGGGTCACGCATGCCTATTTCTTATTCTTGCAAGAAATAGATCCTCCAGTCATTATAAAATCATATCTAGAAGTAGATTTTCAAGAGTTTGCACATCCTTTGTAATCAAAATCAATGTATCCAACAACAACTAGATTTATACAAGCATATAGTGCTTTGTATGCTAAAGGTACCTCATTACCTTTTTAGTCATTTACTAGAATTGTTTTGGTATCTCCCTAGCATTCCCACTACAAAACTTAAGTCTGGTCAAGTGCAAATCAATGCATACATTTAGACTCCCAATTATAGATGCATAAGCGATATTATTCATCTTGTCCCATTCTAGATCATTCTTAGGGCATTGATGAAGACTTAAAAGTGTCCCTTTTAACAAATGGAGATTCTCCAAGAGAACAAGAAGCCATACCAAACTTCTTCGGCATCTTCTTTATGTAAGTTTCTTATGAAAGGCCTAGAACTCTCAACTTTCTATTTCGGCATATTCTAATTCACCAAGATCTTTCATATCAAATGAGGTAGACAAAAAATACTTAGTTTCTATCAACATAGTTTGATCATTTCGTTCTTGCTATGAGAATGCCATCAACATATAATATTAAGAATGCGACTTTGCTCCCACTGACCATCACATAAATGTAGTTATATGAGGTATGCTGTGATAATAGTATTAAATTTGATGTACTATTGCCTCGAAACTTGTTTGAGCCCATAAATAAACTTTTTAAATTTATAGACATTTTGTTCTTTTCTTTCTATAACAAAACCTTCAGGTTGTAGCATGTAAATAACTTCTTTCAAGTCGCCATTAAGAAAAGTAGTTTTTACGCCCATTTGAAAAAGTCTCATCATAATCTATTCCTTCTCTTTAAGTGAATCCCTTAGCAACTAATCATGCTTTAAATTTTTCAATAGTTGCATCAGAAACTCTTTTGGTCTTAAGGACCCATTTACAAGCAATAGGTTTACTCCCCTTCGGTAAATCAAGCAACTCCTACACTAAGTTGCTCTCCATAGATTCATCTTTCATGGCTTCCAACCATTGCTCATAATTTTGATGTCTTAATGCTTTTAAGTAATTTCCAGGATCATTATTTACATAATTAGGTTAAGGAAGATATATAATGTAATCATCTAGAATTGCATATATTCTGACTCCCTGAGGCCTTTTGTGAGGTGCTGACATCAACATTATTTGGAATAACATTTGGAGTGAGATTCGGTAACACTTCATCAATCAAATCTTCTATTTGAATTTTACTCCTTTTAAGACCATCATCATTAGTCTCAAGAAACATTACATCATTGGATTTGATAATGATAGAGTTAGGGTTTAACGGATCAAAAAAACTTTATCCCTTTGATCTTTCTAGGTACCCCAAAAAGTAACAACTAATGGATTTGGATGAGGTTTTATGTAACCCTGGCATTAATATTTTAGCTTCAGTAGCACAACTCCACACATCTAGGTGATTTAGACTTGGCTTCTTTTTAGTCTATATTTCATATGGAACTTTTGGTACTGATTTAGAGGGTGCTCTGTTCAAAATGTAAATTGCCATCTTAATGGATTCTCCCCAAAATGATGTGGGTAAAGTGGCATTGCTCATCATACTATGCACCATATTCATTAACGTTTAATTTCTTCTTTCAGCAGCACCATTTTGTTGAGGTGTATAGGCTATGGAGATTTGATGAATAATCCCATGCTCTTGGAGAAAAGCATAAAAAACCTCAAATCCATCATCTCTATCAAACCTCACATTGGTGACCACAACTCCTCCATGAGGGCTTCCAACTTCTTAGTAGTCTTCAAGAGACTGGCCTTGATCACTTTAAGACGAATGTCACAAACCTAGCAAACCTCAATCAAGTGTTTCTCGATAGAAGACATTCTATCAAGAAACAGGGGGGGCTAAAGCACAAAAGGTATTGAGCTATACCTTACAAAAGGCTCCTATGATGTTTCCGTCACTTACACCTTAAAAAAAAACTCCGATGACCCAGAAAGCAAATATGAGTGAACACGATATTGGTTGTTGCCCCCTTATATATATCTTTAAAGATCCATCATAACTTTGAAATCTAATGTTTCACCAACTGTGTTCTAACATTGGTTGTTGCCCCCTTTATATATCTTTAATTAGGTTTATATACATATTTTGAACCCCTTTCTTTTTCAAGATCCACCATATTATTTCTTTAAGAACTCTATCATAAGTTTTTTCTAAATCTCTTTGAACTTCTCTATTAATCCTTTTTAAAAAGAAAAATATAGCTTCCATGGTTGACCTCCTTGGTATGAAGCCAAATTAGTTTTTTAATACACTTGTTTTATGTTGTAATATTTGTTTAATTATTCTCTCCTAAAATTTCATAGAATGGCTCATGAGTGTAAATTCTCCATAATTATTACAAGTTGTATATTACCTTTATTTTTAAACAAAGACCCCTATACTTTAAGTTGCAATAAAGGCAAATACCCCCTTTTATGATCGCTAGTGGGGTGAACCAGGTTTTCATTTCTATGGATTCGTTATGAGCATAAGTGCAATTGCTGCAATGGCCTTTAAGTCTTCTTCAAGGTGTCCTCTGAAGGGGAAAAATTGAATTCTGTGAACTTGCTTCTATATGTGTCTCCAATTTCTGTTATAGTTTTGTTGACTGCAACAATAGCAATGGAGCCAAATGTGTTAGAGGTCACTATTTCACTTGGAACTGAACACAAATTCATGTGGCTACTTCTTTTGGTGAATTCGGTGATGGCCTATTCAGCAAACTTCTTAGTGATGACTAAACAACGAGTTCATTGCTGGGAAATGAAAAATGTATAAAATATTATATAATATATAATATATTAATAATATATAATTAATATGTTATAAAATATCTATCAAAGTCGGGCTTTGGGCTTTATATAAGGCTGGGCTCGAGCTCAAGATCGAGATCCGATGGTCGGGCTAGGCTCGATCTTGGGCCTAGTATTTTTTTGTTTATAAAGAAGTAAAGTCCGGCCCGACTTGACCCATGAGCAGATCTACTAGGTGGATAAATAACTTTCCTATTTAGGGGAAAGTTGCCAACACTTGAATGAGACAATAATGTCCCTTTTAATAATAGAATTTTATGAATAAAATGGTCATTTCCTTATTTACATGAAAAATAAAAGACTATCGATAAATGTACTTACTCGGATAAATCTTTCTTGAGAACGAGGCCTTCATAATTAACTTTCTTAGTCCATCCAAGGGATTCTCCACACCGGGTAGTTTGACTCATGGAACGTTGAGAAAATAATGTGATGTCAATTTGGTAATCGGAGAAGTGGAGGTCCAGTAATTTTCTATCCTTTTTTAACTAAGGCCGTGTTCTCTTACCTTTTTCTTCATTTCCACACCTTTTCCTTCAAACCAAACACAGCCTCTCTTTGAATTTAATGGGATGACCAGCTGTCCAATTTTTTGTAATGCAGTATTCTGATTGATGATGTTGCTGTCACCTGGCAGCACAAACAGTGGGGCAGCATTCTGTGTGTTGGTGTAGATCCCCAAATAATTTGTTTGGATCAGGGCTTTTTTTTTCTTTTTTGGTAATAGGCAATATGGTTTATGTTTTGAAATGGAAAAGGGTATGAAACTTGCCACGCATGCAATGGTATGATTATGATCACATAAAATTACTCGAGGGTAATTCCACGAATGATAGGAAAATCATGATTTTATGAGGATATTTTTGTAAAAGCACAAGATCGATCATATAAAATAGCCAAATAGGGAGTATTGGTGGGGGAGGGAGGGAAGAAGGTGATTTGAATTCCAAATAACGCACGCATGCTGACAGTGTCTTTAGTAGAGAGAAGACAAGAGGCGAGTCTAGGGTTTCGTATTCTAACCACGATTGGACACCTCACCCACTTTTTGAACCGAAGGGTATTATCCACCTTGGGATTAGAATATGACCGTTGGAGGCGCTCCACTCCCCACTTAAATAGACGCCCCCCTGTTCATCACCCCTTGCACACAGATCAACCCAAACCAGAAAGCAGACTAGAAGAAAGACAAGTTTTAACTCGGTTGAGACACCAAAAGAGGAGACAAAACAACCGTAAGTGCTCATCTTTCCTCTTCCTTGAATGATCCTCTAACTAATGCATAATCATCAAAATATCCATTTCTTCAAGAAATTGCTCCTTGTTCATATCGTCATACTCTTTCTTTCTGCAGCAATTCTTCTTCCGGCTTCAATGTTTAAGACGAAGTCGCCTTCAGATTGCAAGCCTCCGCTTGCCGAACCATCTCGTCCTCGCAGGATCCTACGCTCTACCGCCTGCTCCGTCCAAACTCCTTTAGGTGATTAAAACATACAACTATATTCCCCCCTTTTTCTAATCTCGATATATTTTTCTCTGCAACTCAGTGAAAAGTATAGATGTTTATACAAATTAGTTGAATTTTTCTGTTGGCAACAGCTTCTTTGACGAGAACCCAAGACTCGAACCGCTTGTGGGGTGTGGAGGATTCGCAGATCCGACCAGAATACCAATCGATGTCATGCGAGTTCCGGGCTCTGGCTAAGATGGTCGAGCAGGAATTCGGAAATCGCAATCTGTACAGTCCTGCTTTTGCTGGTACTGTCGGTGGTTCTCTGTTTGAAAGAGGAAGGTTCTATGACGAGTACTCCGCCAGAAGGAATGAGAGGTTGAAGAGGAAGAAAGGTGGTGAGACAGGAGAGGAGAGGGGAACTGTGTGTAATCTCGGCGTTAATGTTGAGTCTGGTAAAAGGCGGGACTCGAAGAAACTGGGAAGCCTGAGAAAATCGGTCCCTGCGAATTTCTCAACTGGTCAAACAGAAAGCTCGAGATATTCTCTGCGCAGTAAGGAGAACAGGAGACCCACTTCCTCAAAAAACTCTGAGATGTCTGTGGTTGATGGGGATAGGAAAGTAGGAGGTCGAAGGGTTCGAAAACTCTGAACTTTTTAAAGAAAAGTTTCCATCCATTTTTTTTCATGTACTGGGGTATGGTCCTGTATTTTGTTCAAGGAAACTTGGTTATGTTAATCTTACTGGGTGCCAAAATTGTTTTAGCATCAGATGTTTCTTAATTCTTATCTCTCTTTTTTTTTTTCTTATTATTTTGGTGTTCGGGGGGAGTGTATGGATTTCAGAGTGGATGTCACTTCTCCATTTTCAGAAGAATGCAATTACATCTTTAGAGAAGACAACTTCTGCTGCTATCAAATGGCTATAAGTCAAAAATTATCTTCTGCTGCTATCAGAATGATCCAACCGTTTGTTTTAATAGGATTTGAATTCCCACTTTTTGTAGAAGTTCATATGGGGGAATGGCCATTCCCACGCTCCCCCTTGGGAATGGGACTACAATTTCAAAGTTCATAAAAAGAACTCTCAAGAAAAAAAACTCCAAACCCTAATATTTATAAAATAACAAAATATTATTAAAGTAATAAGATGATAATAATAATAATTATTATAATTAAATAAGCTATTAATAAATTAATAATAATATTAAAATATTAATAAAACAATTTCAAAGTTCATAAAAAGAACTCTCAAGAAAAAAAACTCCAAACCCTAATATTTATAAAATAACAAAATATTATTAAAGTAATAAGATGATAATAATAATAATAATTATAATTAAATAAGCTATTAATAAATTAATAATAATATTAAAATATTAATAAAATACAAAATTGAAAAGTTTTGGTTGACTCTCATTCTGATTTCAAATGAACCAAACAACAATGATTGGAATCCTTGATTCTTTTTTAAACCAAACGAGCATTGGAAATAGGTGATTCAGATTTTGATTCCAATTCTAATCCTAATCACGAATCAAATAGACCCCTTAGTTTCCATATTTGTTGAACATGGAAGTCCAAGCTAACTAATACCCAATGTTGAGAGAAACGGATTGAGCATCGATCTGGAAAAGAAGAGGTTCACAAAGGTTCAATCGGGGTCTAACTAGAGGTCGAACTGTGATGATGTAAGATATATATATATATATATATTATTTTAGTTTCAATTTTTATATTAAAAATTAATACTTGAAGAAAAAAATGTGTTTTTTAGCAAAATAGTGTGGCAAAGTGCCTTTTGCACACCTTGGAAACATATAGATCTCAAAAAGCTACCAAAAAAAAAAAAAAAATCACCCCAACCGAACATCCGAGTGCAAAGTTATGGCTTTTAGATGTTTACATTTATGTAAAATATTGTCAAAAAAAATTGACCGGTTTTCTAAAACTAGGATTGGATCATTGGTTTTTCGGTTTGATTGTTTGAGTCACCAATTTTGATCGATTTTTTGCCCACTACAGTTTTGGGGGAATGACTAAATCAGCTAGAGGTCTCTGGGTCACAATTCAACTGGTCCAATCAGCTGGTTTGGTCTATTTTTCTATTTAGTATCGATTACATATAGGGTAAATTACAATGACCCCCCTGTACTATGGGGTCTGTGACAAAGAATCCCCTTGATGTTAAATTACTAAAATACCTTACTAAATATTTTCTATTTTCTTTTTTTGTCCTTCTTTCTCTTAAAACCTATTTAACCTATTGTCTTGCCTTTCTTCTCTTCTTTTTCTCTCCTTCACCCATCCTCTCTTTGGCCACGTGGAGAATTAAAGGATGGATACAACCCTTCAGTTCAACACCTCGTAACTCAGAAAACTGTGCTTCCTTTATCTCTTATTCTCTTTCCTTAGAAAAACAGAGGAAGACACAGAAAGTGAATGACTACGCCTCCTCTATGAGGTTGGTGTTGGTCTGTAAGGGTAACTAATGTTTTGTCAATTTTGCATTCGTGAGTTGTGATTTTAGTATGCAAATAGCTAAACATAAATAAAAAAAACCATTAATTCTATAAGCATTTAGAAGTGAAACAGATGTAAACATGGTTTTAAGTACATCTGATTCGTTTTCTAGTTTTAGCTTGTTAACCAACAATCGAACTGTCATTAGACGAGGATTTAATAATTTACGGGGGAGGGATAAATGCTGTTGTTTAGACGAGGATTTAATAATGGTTTAACTTGTGTGCTGCTGCTGATACTACTGCCGCCGCCGCTGCGGCTGGGTGGTAATAGATCGAGCTCCATCAATCTGACTGTTGGAGTGGATGGTTCCATCTGATTATGCTTAAATTCGGTTCTTTCCGTCACGTAATCATCGATTCCCAGCTGAAGTCAACTTTCGTCTTTTTGATCTTGTTGGAAATCCTTGGAGCTGGAGCTGGCTTCGTTGAGGCGAGTCGTCTTCGGCCATTTGACCGACCACCAGATCGGATTCGAGGGAGAGAGAGGAGAGTGAGGGAGAGAGAAATGTGAAGGAACAGACGGATAGTATCGGAAGGTCGGGGAAGATGAACAGTATTTTTCTATCTAATTATTTTAAGGATAATATGGGATTATAACAGCTTTTTGGATAGAAGGCTAATGGAAAGGAGTTTTTGTTCCAGGGTCATAATATAGGGGGTCTTTTTCACAAAACAAAGTATAGGGGCACATACTTGGACATGACCTAGCATAAGTGATAACTCAACATAACAGCTTGGCCATAACTCGGCATAACGAACTCGTCGGAGCCTGGCGGACAACTCGGTGGATGTGGCAACTCGCTGGAAAGCAACATCTAGCTTACCCTGAACTCTCTCTAACGGAGGAACGCCCCGAGCTCCCTCCAAGCGAGGAGTCCCGAGCTCCTCCCAATGAGCCCCAAACTCTTCCTTCCTGAGAAGGGAACACCCCGATCTGCGGCTAAGTATCCCAAAGTGGAAACACTTCGGGCCAGCACCATTAACACTCCTGTCTATACTTGCCTAAGGCTTGCCTCAAGCATAAGCACCTCGACGCACCCCCAGCACTTTGGTGTAAGGTAGCTCGGTGCAAAGTAGCTCGACAACCTGCAGGAAAGATCTGTCTAACAACAGTACCTACTGAATCTGGAGGCTGCGCCCACATCCCTCATCAGGCGGCGTCGTGCCTGGCATTTCTGAAAGATATGGCACGCCTGATAGGTCCGTACCCTGCAACGGCTGCCTGCAACCTGCCACCTCAGCTCTAGCAGTAACGGCTGCAGTAGAGGCGGTTACGCCTGACTTGACAGAGGCGGTTGCGCCTGATTTGACAGAACTCCAATATAAAAGGACCCCGATCCCCAAGGAGCAAAGGTACTGAACTTGTGCCATCTGCACTCTTAGCTCTCTCTTTGCATTCTTTACAATTCTCCCAGAGTTCTAACTTAAGCATTGGAGTGTTCCCGCCTGGCGAGCTCCCCGGGAATTCTTCACCTCCCTCTTCTTCTCAGGTACCGTCCGTCGCCAGTTAGGAGCCAGGTTTCCACCAACTAGGAGTGTCCAGATCGCGCTACATCATACCTTGTTAACCAACAATCGAACTGTCATTAGACGAGGATTTAATAATTTACGGGGGAGGGATAAATGTTGTTGATTAGACGAGGATTTAATAATGGTTTAACTTGTGTGCTGTTGCTAATAATAGATCGAGCTCCACCAATCTGACTGTTGGAGTGGTTGGTTCCATCTGATTATGCTTAAATTCGGTTCTTTCCGTCACGTAATCATCGATTCCCAGCTGAAGTCAACTTTCGTCTTTTTGATCTCGATGAAAGTCCTTGGAGCTGGAGTTGGCTTCGTTGAGGCTACTGGTTTTGGAGTCGTTTTCGACCATTTGATCGACCACCAGATCGGATTCAAGGAAGAGAGAGGAGAGTGAGGGAGAGAGAAATGTGAAGGAACGGATGCATAGTATCGAAAGGTCGGGAAAGATGAACAATGTTTTTCTATCTAATTATTTTAAGGATAATATGGGATTATAACAGCCTTTTTGGACAGAAGGCTAATAGGAAGGAGTTTTTGTCTCACAGTCATAATACAAGGAGGTTTTTATCACAAAACAAAGTATAGGGGGGTCTTTGTCACAAACCCTAGAATATGGGGGGGTCTTTATAATTTACCCTTACATTTATTATATAAACGTTTTGTACCATATGACAAAATATATTTTAAATGTTTTTTGAGACGTTAGAGTCATTATGCGCCACTAGATGCCATTAAGTGTCAGATAAATCAAACAATAAAAAAGCAGCCTTGAAAAAGACAAGTGTTAAATTTGGCGTTTTTTGATAAATGGCTCTCACAATAGAGACACGTTTAAACGTTCTTTTTTTTTTAAAAAAAAACCCATTCAATCAACTACAACAACAAAACAAACAAAACTATTTCCAACTGGATCATTTGATTTCTCATATTTTTGAAACAAAATCGGACAGTTTCAATGTCTCCTCTGGTTTCCTCACAAGTTACCTATGCATCTTTGGGCATAACTACAACTCTCTTGTGCTTGGCGTATATATTTGTATCTTCAAACAATCCCACCTTATATGCCTCAATGGCTGAATTTTTAATGCCTGTATTGTTGAATAATAAGTGACTGCCTAGTGAACTTTCTTAAAAAAAAAACAAGACAAAAACGACAAGAGTCTCAATGGCATTTTTCACATCCCACCCTGTATTGAAAACATCTTTATAAATAATAAATACAAATATAAGAGATATTCTCAAATATGGGAGCAGATCGGGATTCATATTGCAGCAATGAAAAGGCACTAATCCAAAACCTCAAATTTGTCTTCAAGTCTTCAGAGACATAGTTATAGGCCTTCTTCATTCTTCGGCTGTTGGAGCGAATTTCCAAAAAAATATCTTTGAGGCGAGTTTAGATTACGAGTTGGAATCATCTATCCTCTCACTCTGCCCATCTCAGTGTCCTCGCATTTAGTTAATGACACAAAATCTCTCAACGTATGAAGGTATAGACGGAAAATAAAGATCTCTATATTTATTTTTCATATTTGAAAAAAAAAAAATAAGAATCAAAGTTGTGTCACTCCTTTATCCATCTCTCTATTGAGGAGGAAGGGAGTTCAAGAGCCGAAGAGATGTAGGTAGATGAGTACGAAATGGGGATCGAGATGGATGAAAAAACTATAAATGGATTAATTTATCTTTTAATAAAAAATAAAACAACACAGAAGTGACTAGTTTTTCGTCTCATGTTTACATGTTAAGATCTGTCAAATAACAATTGTCGCCCCCTGAATTGAGATGGGCAAGACGCAAGAGGGAAGGGTAGACCAGACCATCCCAACCCAGAGATTATTTGATTCGCTGTTATGGTAGAGATAAGAGATTAGAAAATAGAGTGTATTTCAAATGGTTAGTAATTTATTAGTAAATGATGAATGGATCGCCCATAAAAGGTGCTTTTACTTTTTTGGACTTAAATAACTATTTACGATTTATTTCTTTGCTATAAGTCTAATATATAAATGCATGATTTTTTTTTTGGGTTTTGATATATGAATATAAAGAATATTGTTCTGAAATTTGAATTAGAATTACTAAAAATGACAATTGACCATTTTAATCTATGAGAAAATTTGTTGAATTATTTAATAAATTAATCTCTCGGTGTGATTAATCAGAATTTTCCATTCGATTACAGGCGGTTTTTCAGTTTTTAATACCAGGTAGCCCAACGGCCTGGCCCGGTCTATACCCCGGTCAGATTTGGACATGTAATTAGACCTCGGGCCCAAAACAGTAACTCCAATTGCGACTGTGTTTTGGGCCGGGTTCGGGATTTGTCAAAAAAGTCCGATCCAATTTAGCATTATATATTTTATAAAATATATAATATGTATTTTATATAATATAAAATATATAATATTTATTAGTAATTTAATATATATATTTTTATTTTTTTTATAATTTCTCTTTCTCTTTTTCTGTCTCTCTATTTAACCACTTCAGCAATAACAATAGCATAAGTTAGACTTCGGGCTCAGGCCCAAGCCCAGACAGTGGGCTTTTTATAAGGACTGGACTTGAGCCCAAATTGTAACCCCGATGGTCGGATCGGATTCAGACTCAGGCCGTAAAAAAATCTGTTAATATAGAGTGAAAGCCCGGCCCGATTCATGAAAAAATCTACCGACAAATCGACAAACGAAGGACAATACATAATCTCTTTGTCCACGTGGAGCATGCCTATTTGTATTTGAGTTGAAGAACAAGAACTTTCCCCAGATGCTGCCTAACAAAAGTACAAAATTACAAATAAATATTAGGGAGAGGTACAAATCAGCCCAGCTCAGAATTGATGCCAAATTTCACGGGCAGCATGTGGTTTATAAGGGACAGGGAGGGCTACTTGTAAGGGGGCTGGAATTCAGAATTCTGCATCGTGTGTCTGCGTATTTTTCCCTAAATATTATTAATATATTAATAAAGGCCATTTGCGCCATCTCTCATCAAGCCGACTACTGGACCAATGGCGAAGAGAGTGGCGATCATCGGTGCCGGAATCAGTGGCCTCCTTGCCTGTAAATATACTTTGGAGAAGGGTTTCCGTCCGGTCGTCCTCGAATCCAAGGGAGGAATTGGTGGAGTTTGGGCACAAACTTTGGAGACTACCAAGCTCCAGACACCGAAGCTTGTCTATGAATTCTCAGATTTTCCATGGCCATCTACCGTAAAAGAAGAGTTTCCCAACAGCAACCAGATCATGGAGTATCTTGAATTGTATGCTCGGAAGTTCGACCTTCTTCGCCATATCAAATTTAATTCTAAAGTGATCGGCATCGACTACGAGGGAACTTCTAACGATGAGATTCTCTCATGGAGTCTTTGGGGTGGCACTGGTGAGGCCTTCGGTCCTAGAGGCAAGTGGAACATCACCGTTCAAGAGGCCAACACTGAATCAACTCAGGTAACGGAATACTGTAATCTCTCTATCGATCTTCCACAGACACACACACACGCAACTGATGACTGATGAGAAAGGGTTAAACAAAAACAGGTTTACGAAGCGGAATTTGTGATCCTTTGCATCGGACGTTACAGCGACCTTCCAAATATTCCAGTATTCCCAGAAAACAGGGGACCAGAGGTGTTCGATGGCAATGTGATACATGCAATGGACTACTCAGCCATGGATAACGCAACTGCAGCTGAGTTTATTAAAGGAAAGCGTGTTACGGTGGTGGGGTTCCAGAAATCAGCGTTGGACATTGCATCAGAATGTGCCAAAGCAAATGGTAAGTCTCAAACTTTTGATCAAACTATTTTTATGTTTTTCTGTCGACTGCAACACACGTTCTCTGCCGAGCCCTTCAAACGATTCTTCTCCGAATTGCGTTACCGGAGCCGAGCGTGAATATTAGTGGAAACCCAACACTTCTAAGTTCTAACCGGTCGAAGAGAAGTTAAAGCCGGCATCACCGAGAACTCTATCCAATCCAACCCAGAAGAGAATTGGATCTGCTCCTCGTAAAACTCAAGGCAGGCTTAAATAAAGCGCGTGTACAATCGGACAGTGACGGCCCATACGTTTAATTTTTGGGAGAATGACCAATCAGAATTTTATAGTGACGATCCGTACTTTTCCTTTAATTTTTTTGGATCAATTCACCCTAAGGCTCGTTTGGTTGGTGGGATGGAGACGAGAAAAAGGGAAAGAGAGGGATGGGATGAAAAATATGTGGGAGGTTAAATTCCAAAATCATGGATTTAGGGTCGTACCAAAACCGTGTGATCCTTCTGGAAAATTTTGAAAAAAAGGAAGGAGAAACGGATTGTGTGGAAAATACAAAAGAAGAGCTGGTTCGGTGGCAATGGCGTTCGAACCCAGAAGTAGGAACTGGAGGGGTCGCACCAAAACCATCGGCGATCTGCTACCTCCCCTTCCTTGAGGATGGTCGCCGGGTGAAAATAGTAATATGATTCGTAAACTGTATGGAAAATGTTAAAGGGCATGGGCTAATCGTTGTTTATTCGAAAAGTATATTTACCAACTCTTTGTGAAAAAAAAAAAAATTGATCAAATAGAACTAAATAGAATAATTTTTTGTGTCTTAGTCTTACTAGAGGCAAAATTGATATTTTTAATTTAATTTTCTTTTGATTAAATATATTTAAAAGGATAATAAGGTCAAAACTGTCATTTACTCGAAGAAGCCCAATGCGAGCCCAACATGCAGTTCAATTTACCCAATGTATTAGTTGTAATAATACTTAAAACTAAAGGAGAAAGGAAATAGGTATAGGGCTGTCAATGGGTCGGGTTTGGTTTGAGTGGAAACCGACCCGACAAGAAAGTTAAGAAATTGGAACTGAACCAGATCCTTGGATCTGTAAACTCAGAACAAAACCAATTGATTCTGATGACAATTGGGTTTGATCCGTTGGACCTGATAATATATTAGGAACTGGAACAACCCATCGTTACCAGATCCTTTAATCAAAACCGGCCCAATCGGTTTGGGTCCATTGGGCTGGACCGAAACCACAGTGACAGGACTATGCTCCATTCTAGATCCACCCACTTGGGGGAATTGTCGAGTTCAACTGAATAATTGAGGAAAAAAACTGGATCACTTGAAGTATTTTGGTAGATAAAAGAATCATATTTGAAGCAAAGAGTTGCTGATGTGCAACTTGAGAGAGCTAGGAAGGGTGTAAGGAAGAGGGGCCGGGTAGGAACCCTCCGTTGGGGTAAGAAACCAAGGAGAGACATGATGATGTGGCATGTTTTGTTCTAATGTAGGTGAGAGGATGGGGAATGGGGGAGTCCATGCAAGCATAGATGTAAGAGGACTACTAGCCTCACAACTCCCGCCATTTCTTCTTTCCTTCATAACTAATATGGGAATAATGCAATTCATGGGGTTTTATAGAATTTTGTAAGAGTATATAGAAAAATAAATAAAATATATATAGAAACATAAATAAAATATCCAACTAGAGATGTCAAAGGGTTACATACAGGTTTACCTCAAACCAAACCTAATCCCAATACGCCTTCTAATAACCTCAACACAACTCAATGAAATAGAATTGTTGAACTTGACCCAACCTTATAAGGTATGGGACCTATATTCTAAGTGCAGACCATATTTATGAACTCATCAATGTCACTGCTCATAAACATTTCATTGTATATATTTTCTTAGATAAAGTAATTTCAAAGACATCACTCTCAAAGTTGATGCAGGTTAACCTCACTTAACACAATCCTACACTGAACCCAACTAACGCTGCCTCAAACCCAATATGACAGGGTTGCATGTTGGATCAATGCAGCTTTACTATTTGACCCATTGAAATCCCATTGAAAACACCATTTATATGATTCCTCTTTTAGACAGGGCATTTTCATTTCGGATATCCTATATGGCACCTATGTGCCAATTACACATTGTAAATTGTGCAAAACACTCTATTCTCCCAACTTCTGATGCTTAAATCAAGTACAAACCAAGGTGCAAATGAGTCCCGATACAGAGGTTTTGGGATCCCACTATTTTCTAATGAAAAATATGGGTATTAAACTATCCAAAAATCAAGTTTTGAAAAAAATAAAAAAATATATTTCCACGTGGTTTAAAGTATGGATACGCCTCTACCGATAGGCGTATCAATACTTTGAACCATGGTACAAACACAGCACTTGTACAACACCACATACCAAAACACCCTCTATAATATTAGTGTAATTGCAATGTACTTTCAAGGCATGTATTATTAACCCTTTTATTTATTTGTAGGAGTCAAGCATCCTTGTACAGTGCTATACAGGACTGAACACTGGAGTATGCCTAATTACCTGCCATGGGGGGTGCCCCTTGCTCTTTTGTACCTCAACCGCTTCTCAGAGTTCATGATCCATAAGCCTGGTGAAGGATTCCTACTATTTCTCTTGGCTACCCTACTTTCACCTTTGGTATCTCCTATTTATCCTTTACCATACTCATATAGTTAAACTTCCATTATCATATCTATTACATTATCCTTAGAGGCATCGAAGAGTCGCCTATATGATTCTTCTCTCTTTCAACTACCTAAATAAATTTTACCCAACTTGTGGAAAAGTTTTTTTTTTCTCTCTTATTTTCTATCAAATCAAACTAAACATAGCTTTAATGAGTTGAACTAAATAAGGTAATGTAATTTGCAGAGGTGGGCATTCTCAAAATTTGTAGAGAGCTACCTAAGATGGAAGCTTCCTCTGAAGAAGTATGGAATGATACCTAAACACAGCTTCTTTCAACAAATTTCCATGTGCTCAATCACAATCTTGCCAGATAAATTTTATGACAGAGTGGCAGAGGGAAGCATTGTTTTGAAGAAATCAAAGAGCTTTAGCTTTTGCAAAGATGGATTGATGATTGAGGATGAGATTGCACCTCTACAAACAGATATTGTTATATTTGCCACAGGATACAAGGGAGATCAAAAGCTAAAAGACATTTTTACTTCACCCACTTTTCAAGAACAAGTGATAGGTTTACCCACCACAACAGTTCCACTCTATAGGTTGCTATATGTTAAAACTTTATTTATTGCCATCTATATTGAGAAAATTGTCTATGCTTGGTTGCAGTGCAATTTTATTTGCATTAGTAGTAGAAATGCATGGGAGTGCAAATGAAAAGAAAATGAAAATTCTGACTTACTTTTGTTTTGGATTTTACTTTATTCTGCTTTAGGTCATATTTTACTTCATCTATACTGCAATGAAAAAAGAAAACATGCACCCAAATCATTTGCACTGCCATAGTTTTGCATCAATGCAAATAAATTTCCATTGCAATCAAACGCAGGTATTTGGCATCAGCTCTCTCTATAACTCAATTGTGTGCTACTGCAGAGAGTGCATCCATCCTCGAATTCCACAACTGGCGATAATTGGATACTCAGAGAGTCTTGCAAACTTGTATACTTCAGAAATGAGATGTCGATGGCTGGCGCATCTCCTTGATGGTAGTTTCAAGTTACCTTGCATATCAGATATGGAGAAAGATATAGCAAGATGGGAAAATTTCATGAAGAGGTATAGTGGTCGGTACTTTCGGGGATCATGTCTTGGTGTGGTACACATTTGGTACAATGATCAGTTATGCAAGGATATGGGATGCAACCCCAAGAGAAAGAATGGGCTTCTTGGAGAATTGTTTGAACCTTATGGTCCTGCAGATTATAGAGATCTATCCCCTATTGAAAGCTCAAAATAGTCTGCAACTCTCTCACACAGAGTTTTTGGGTTACTAAGCAATGGTTTAACAATCTATTATATCGTTTCTCTCAATCAGACAATGTAAGATATTTATGCAATCTAATAAGCATTGATTTATATAGCTCCGATATAGATGTTATGGATGCTCTCTTTCATCTCTTTTTTCTTCCTCTCTATTTGTTTCTGGTGCACATTTATTTGTTTCTAGTACAGTCATGAGAGAGTAGATAGACACCCCCTAAATTAGGGATCAACCATCCATGTGGTAAGTCATAAACTGAGATTGGGTGTCTTTTAGTTGACTTGTGAATATACCAATATATCCACATGTTTTTTTTTTGGGTGGGGGGGACTTGCCATTTGCAAATTAATTTTGGGGGTAGAGAGGAATAGAAAAAAATTTCCATTAGGAAGCTCAAGAAACTACAACAATAACAAGGATAAAACACAAAAACAAAGCAACACAAATTACGAAGTACAAACTAAAAGAACACCTAAGAACAGAAAAGAAAATACAACACCACAACGAGCTACCAAACAAGTACAATACGGCAGATGCAAATGCCCATTAACTAGAGCAATATGCTGATATGAAACAAAGGGATACTACAAGGAAGATGGAACTAAGGCGCTGTTCGTTTTTTGGTAAGTTACTTATTACCTAGGTAAATGCATTTACCTTTGGGAAAGATTTACCGGGATAAGTGCATTTACCCATGTTCTTTTATTTCCCATGTAAATAAGGCAATGACCATTTTAGCCACAAAAATCCATTATTAATAAGGGTATTTTTGTTCCATTCATGTGTTGGCAACTTTCTCCCCAGGTGGGAAAGTTATTTACCCACCTAGAAGACCTAAGAAAATAAACTTTCCTTGGTCCCACATAAATCTGAAAAAAGACATGGATTTTTTGGTCAATGAGAATCAAAATTCCATTGACCAACTTTCCCCCTCTCAAAATCCAAAACAAGAACGCCCCCAAGTGTTAACAGGGTTATAGATGCCCCATCCTCCATCCACATGTTTGAGAACAAGAATGAAATTTATTTTATAAACAGTCGTCAACAATTTTTTTTTTGGGTAAAAAGTCAACAATTCTGGATATATGATAAATAATTATTGCCTCGCGGAATTTTTTGTATAAATGGAAAAAATCAAAAGGAAATGATTGAAAAAAACTGTTGATAGATGAGATGGTTCATTATGTTTTGATTCCCATCCCATTGGCAATAGCTATCTCTGTTCTCATAATATCATCTCTCAAGTCATTGGAGGGTTTGAATATCTACATCTGATTCTTTTATGTGTAGAATCTGTTAGACTAACCACGCTTAGGTTGGTCACGTTGTTGCATTCATTGGGCTATTAGAAAATCGAAACATTTAGAGGCACCAAGGTCATTGATGGGTAGACCTTTTGATTACCTCAAGAACATGTATAAATAGAGATAGTCACCACTCGGCCAAGTGCTAATTTTCAATCTGTTTCCCATCTTATTGGAGGCTTGGAGTCGAGTGGAGACTTGTCTATCAAATCGATTTCCAGTGGGATCAAGTTTGCTACTTGGAGAGATGGAAGGTATCCTTTTATTTGATATTTGAATGTATATTTGTTAAGAATCGTGTTTAGATCTAATTTCTATTTTTATCTTAAAAACATCATCAAAATTGGTATTAGAGCCTGTTTGAAATGCTTAAAAACGAAAATTGTGTTTTTCAGCGATTTGGCCGAATTCCGACGAAATATATGCCAGAAATAGATCCCCAGTTGACCTCTGTCCATCTATGATCTATTGGAGGCTGACCAGTCGCTGGAAATGACCAAAAATAGACAGTTTGAAATCAGCGTTTTAGCTCAGATTGCACAAAACCCGATTGAGAAAGTTGGGCAAAGAAGATGATGTTTTCGGGTCAACTATGACCCGTTTTTGACAAGACCCATACCGTATACGGTGGGTCGTGGTGGCCACAACATCGTGTCTAGCATGGAATGGCCTGTGCGATGCATAGGGTTTTTGATATTGATGGTGATGTTTGACTATGTTAATACCCAAAACACCATATGAAATATTGACTGGAAAGAAGTCAAGTTTGAATCACCTACACGTGTGGGGTTGTGCTGCTGAAGCTAAGATTCTATCCCCAGGATTACTTAAAGCCTCATCCAGATCCATTAGTTGTTACTTTGTAGGGTATACAGAAAGATCAAATGGATATAGGTTGTATGATCCATCAAATCCTAACTTTACCATCGTCGAATCCAAGGATGTGAAGTTTCTTGAAACTGACAATAATAGTTTTCAACGGAGTAAAATTCAAATAAAAGACTTAATAGATGAAGTTTTACTAAGTCTCACTCTAAATGTTATTCTAAATAATGTTGATGTTGGACCCTCACAGATGATTATATTGTATATCTTGTTGAACTTGATCATGTGGACAATGATCCTAGAAATTATTTAGAAGCCTTAAAACATTACAATTCTAAGCAATGGTTGGAAGCCATGAAAGAGGAAATTAAATCTATAGAACATAACTCAATAAGGGAGTTGGTTGACTTACCGAAGGGGAAAACCCATTGGCTGTAAATGGGTCTTCAAAACCAAAAGAAGTTCTGATGGAATTATTAAGAAATTTAAGGCATGATTAGTTGCTAAGGGATTCACTCAAAGAAGAGTAAATTACAATGTGACTTTTTTGCCAGTATCCAAGAAGGATTCATTCCGTGCATTAATAACATTGGTTGCTCACTATGATTATGATTTATTTCAGATGGATGTTAAAACTACTTTTCTCAATGGAGAATTGCAAGAAGTTATTTATATGCTTCAACTTGAAGGTTTTGTCATAAAAGGAAAAGAACAAAAGATCTGCAGATTAAACAAGTCTATTTATGGACTTAAACAAGCTTTGAGGCAATGATACATCAAATTCCATACTCTCATAACAACATTTGGATTCAAAGAAAACATCTCAAATAATTGTATCTATGTGAAGGTTAGTGGGAGCAAAATTGTTTTTTTGATATTATATGTTGATAACATTCTCTTAGTAGGAAATGATTGGATAATGCTGCTAGAAACTAAGTAATTCTTATTTACCTCATTTGACATGAAAGATCTTAGTGAGGCATCCTATGTTTTGGGAATCAAAATATGCTGAAATAAAAAGTTGAGACTTCTAGGTCTTTCACAAGAAGCTTACATAAAGAAAATGCTAAAGAAATTCGGCATGGACTCTTCTTCTTCTAAAGAGTCTCCATTTGGGAATCAATGTCTTAAGAATGATTTGGAGCGGCAAAAGATTAAAAATGCTGGGGAAACATTAGACTTAAACATGTTCACCAGGCCTGACTTAAGTTTTGCAATAGGAATATTGGGGAGATATCAAAGCAATCCAAGATAGAAACATTGGAAAATAGCTAAAAAGTTAATAAGATACCTTCAACGAACAAAACACTACATGCTTGTATATGGCCAAGTTGAAAATCTGGAGGTGACTGGATAATGCCGACTCTGATTACAAGGGATGTCTAGACTCCAAAAAATCTACTTCTCGGTATGTTTTTATGATGGCTGGAGGAGCCAAAAGCAAACATGCATGGCTTTATCTACCATGGAGGCAGAATACATCTCTTGTTATGAGGCTACAAGGCATGCCATATGGTTGAAAAACCTTTTGAGAGAATTGCTCGTCATTAACTTTGTATCCAAACCTTTACAACTTTATGGTGATAATTCCCTTGCAATTGCACTTTCAAAGGATGCAGGACATCACTCAAGAGCTAAACATATCAGTGTCTAGTATCATTTTGTTCGTGACAAGGTTCATGATGGGTCAATAACTATTTCTTATAGCCTTAGAAAGCAATTTAGCAGATCCTATGACTAAAGAACTTCATACTAGCATATTCAAACATGTTTATGATATGGGAGTCTGTGATGTAAATGAATTTATTTAATTAGTGGGTGTTTGTTTTGTCAAATTGTAATTTAATTTTTTTTTTGTTATTATGTGCATATTTGATTTGGGTAGCTGATCACTACCATTTGTCCTTCATCATCTTGATATGTAGATGACATATACCATTATGGTTTGTTAACCGTTTTTGGGGTTGTGAGCTGATTATATTATACCCAGTTTGTACTTGTAACTTGGGGATAGTGATTTTGTAAATATTTAACATGAAAATAGGTTTGTTTGCATTAAATTAGAAAGGAACCTTTATGCTCAAGTATTTATTGAAGTCATTAAAACCAAGATTGTTGACTTCCTTGCTTTGTCCCTATAAAATTTTTTCATAAAATAGCAACTGACCAAGTGGGAGATGGTTAGACTAACCACATTCTCATGTAGGTTGGTTACATTGTTGCATTCATTGGGATGTTAGAAAATTGAAATGTTTAGAGGCATCAAGGTCATTGATTGGTAGACCTTTTGATTACTTTAAGAACATGTATAAATAGAGACGGTCACCACTCGTCCATGTTCTCATTTTCAATCTGTATTCCATCTTATATATATATATATATATATATATATATATATATATATATATATATATATATATATAATTTAGTCTCTATTTAATTGTAAGGTTTAAATTGTAATTTGAATTACTACTTTTCACCTCAATCAGTTCCCTCTATTTAAATCTTACATTTTTGATAAAAGATAAAACATTATAAAAAAAGAGTCTACCCAAGCAAGTAGGCTTGTCAATGATACTTGAAACTTCACAACTTGATCCAATTAATAATTAAAAACAAAAAATAAAAAATGCATAAAATTTTATAAAAAATTTTGGATATGCTATTACTATCATTATCATCATCTAGAATTGCCCACGTACAAAGCATGTGCATACTTACTAGTATATATATATATATATATAGCAAGATGGTCCATGTCATGGTCTATGTCACTTTGTTTCTCCTTGCTCCATGATGGAGGTAGATTTGACCCGACCCCTTGGCTGTGCGACACGTGGAAGAAGGCAAGATGACCTGGCAGGAACGCCAGGTCGGCACGATGACTTAGCACGGCCATACCTTGAAGAGAGGCCCGAACTCCCGAGCTCCTCGAAGAGAGGCCCGAACTCCCGGGCTCCTCAAAGAGAGGCCCGAGCTCC